TTAACCTTACCAGGATAAAGTTTTGGCCAAGTCTCTTAATACTTTTTATTTAAAGACCTGTGGCAGTGAAACAAAGAAAACACAATCCCCTCCCCCTTTTCTAAACCATATGGCAGTAAACTGAAGTTAACTTATTTTTTACCAGCGCAACGCCTATACATCGATCTGAACATTTTTCTCTTTGTGCCCTGGGACTGGGCTAGAGCTGTCTACTTATTTACAACTGTACCCCAATCATGTTTTTAAGTCTCAAATCCAAGTCTGATCATTAACAGACCTCACCACGATCATTTACCAAAACCTGGTTTAGGTAGGTGGTGCACGCCGAGAGAGGGGCCCGTGGCCGGCCAGGAGCGAGTCCGGGGCGACCAGGTGACGGAGCAGAGAGTTTGCTCGCCGCGGCCCGGCCGGATCCGCCCCGGGAACTTGGTTACCCGAGCCCAGGGACGCGCCGAGGCCTAGCCGCGAGGCCAGGCGGCAGGGGCTTCCCGTTCCCCGGCCGCAGAGCCTTCCCGCCTGCCCCGCGGTCTGCCGCAGGCAGGAGCACTCGCCGTCGTCTCCCGGCGACTGGACGCGCCCGCCGATCCCGAGCCGGCTCCTCGGTCTCCTGCCTCCGCCTGTGGCCCCGCTCGGCGGCCGCGCCGGGCCCTTCCGGGGTGGCGGGCGCGCTAGGCCGCGCTGGGGCCCACGGCTCCGGGATCGGCCGGGCGGGCCGCGGCGTCTGGTATCAGTCCCAAGGGCCAGGCTCCCGCCGGTAACGGGCCCCGCCGCCTCCCCTCCCCCTCCCCATGACAGTGCAAACCCTCCGGCCGGCCCGGCCGCCCCGCCTCCGGCACCAGGCCCAGCTCAGGGCCGCGGCCGTGGCGGCTACAGCGGCGGCGCCGCGGCTCCCCGCCGACTCTCGCCCGCTCCCGGGCCCGGCGTTTCGGGCCGGCTCGGGCCCGGCCGAAGTCTCCGCTGCCTCCCGGCCGCCCTCCGCGGCGCCCGGCCCGGGAGGGGTAGGCCGAGGCCCAGGCGGTGGGGGTGGGGGCGGGGGCTGCTCACCTTCATGTCGGGACATCCTAGTTCAGACGGTGGCGACGCGGCCCCTCCCGGGCTCCGGCTGCAGTGTCCCCCGCGGGGTCCCGGCACTGCCCGCGCCGGCCGGCCGACTCCCACTCGACTCCCGGGCTCGGCCGCGGGGGCGGGGTGGGCAGGGGAGCGCTCCCGCGGCGGCGGCGGCGGCGGCGGGGAGGCGGCGCGGGGCGGGAATGGGGCCGGGCCTGGCCGGGGCTGAGCTCCTCCAGGAGGCGGGTCCGACGCCACGGCTCCGCCGGCGCCCGCCGTGACTCGGTCACTCTCGGGCCCGCCGGCTCCCGGCTGCGGCGCCGCGCTCCTGAAATCCCGCTCCTCCCCTTCCCCGGCCTACCCCCCGCCCCTCTCCCCCAGCTCCCGGCCGCCGCCTCCTCCTCCTCTGCCTCCGCCTCCGCCTCCTTCCGCCGCCCGCACGGCGGCCCCGCCTCTCGCTGCCCGCGCCGGGCCCAGCCGCCCGGAGGCCCCGCGGCCGGAGGGCGCGGCGGCGGCGGCGGCGGCGGCTCGGGGCGCGGCGCTGGCCCGCGCTCTCCAGCAGGTCGGGGTCCGGCGCTCGAGCCCGGCCTCGGTCTGGCCGCCACGCCGCGCGTAGGGAGGAAGAGGAAATGCCGGGCCGCCCGCGCCGCGGCTCCGGGACACGGCCTGCCCGCGCGGCCCGGGGGACGCCGTCCGCCCCGCCGCCCTCAGCCCCTCCTGGGCCTGCCCGGGTCTGGGCTCAGGGCGCCCTCGCTGCCGGGCCGGGCTGGCCGCCGGCGGCCGCTGCTTCCCGGCCCCTAGCTGCGACTTCGAGGGGCTCCCGCCCGGGGACGGGTGTTTGTTTCATTTTGAGCCAGCACCCCTGCGGGGAAAGGCGGCCGGCCTCCGGTGGTCGTCCGGTGATGCCCGGCGACTCGCGATCGCGAGAGGGCGTGGGCGCCGGAGGAAGCCGGAGGCGGCCGGGTTGGCAGCTGGGTTCCAAGGTCGCCTGCTCGGGAACCATCTTTGGAGACTCGTGCCCGCCAGCCCGGTGTCCGGCGGGACGCGCGCGAAGTTTGTTCCTGCACCTCGGCTCATCTTGAACACTCTGCTTTGAAAACTGGGGTGTGTGTGTGTGCGCGCGCTTTGAAAACTGGGGTGTGTGTGTTTTCCTACCCGCGAACTAGTTTTCCGTTTTCACCTCTCTTTTACATTTTTACCCTCTTCATTGTCAACTTTGTTTCCAGACAAGAATTCAACAGATATTTATACTGCCCCCTACCACGTGTCTGTTGGTAGTGTGGTTTGGTAGAAGTAGATGGTGCTTTGGGATACTCTTTCTGATGTCTTCTGTGTTAACCCGGACAGTTTGTTTAACCTTGCTGAGTGAGCCTCGTTCCTTCTGTTTGGTTTGGTTTGGGTTGTTATTTTAATTTACCCTCTTATATTTGAAATTGTTCTTTTTTTGTCTGTTTGCATAAAATAGAACTGTGACCCTAGACCAAATTCACTGAAATTTGAGCTATAAGATACTGTTTGCTCCAGGGTTACTTTTAATGTCCACCATAACTAGCTGTGTGACCCGGAGCAAATGACTTAACCTCCCTGTGCCTTCTTTAAAATGAGCAAGATTACATATGATAATATTAATAATGACATACTAATAGGTAGATATTTGGGATTAAGTACTAAGATGTATGTATATAAAATATCTAACCCAGGACACAGTAAAAACAGTTTGTTACCCATTTTCATTAAATCTGGTTTTAAGATACTTCCTGATTTCAAAGATATTGAAAAGCTCATCATAGACCTGGCCGGTTTGAGTCAGTGATTAGAGCGTTGGCCTGCAGACCCAAGGGTCTCCCATTCAATTCCCCGTCAAGGACACAGACCTGGGTTGCAAGTTCCATCCCCACCCCAGTGGGGACACGTGGAAGAGGCAACCAACCTATTTGTCACACTCACATTGATGTTCCTCTTCCTTTCTCCCTCTCCCTCTCTTCAAGCGGATTTAAATGAGGATTTTGTCACCAGAAATACTTCCATTGCATGTATGGAGCTTATGTCTGTTTAGTACACCACAGCTGTTGAAAGAAGTTTGTGGGGACCGTAATTGGGGTGGAGAGAACCAGGCTTCAAGCAAGGCTAGCTAACATTTATTTACTGCGTGCATACCCTGTGCCAGCACTTTTCTAAGCATTTTACAGTATTGGTATGTGGTCTTGGGTACCAAACACTGGAGCCTCAATTTCTTGGCCTGTAAAAGTGAAGAGAGCACCCTACAATCTTATGATGAGTAAATGATGTTTGTAAGTATGTTAAGTTATAGGCATTATTATTATTTTTATCCTCACCCAAGGATATTTTTTCCATTTATCATCATATAGAATGGGAGGGAGGAAGGGAGAGGGGGAGAGAGAGAGAGAGAGAAACATCGATGTGTGAGAGAGACACATCAACTGGTTATCTCCTGCACGACCTAACCAGGGCCAGGGTTGAACTGCAACCGAGGTACATGCCCTTTGACTGGAATCGAACCCATGACTCATTGGTCCAAGGGCCTATGTTCTAACTGCTGAGCCAAACTGGCCAGGGCTAGTATTATTTTTAATAATTTGTCTTTATTGATTTTAGAGAGAGAGGCAGAGATAGAAACATCTATGAGAGAGAACATTGATTGGCTGCCTCTTGCATGCACCCCACTGGGGATCAGGCCCACAACATGGGCATGTGCCCTAACTTGGTTCACCACTGAGCTACACCAGCCAGACAAGGCATTATTAATACTATAGTCAGCTAACAATGCTGGAGCCAACAAAAATATGGAACTCCAGGAAGGAATAAAAAAGTATAAAGGTTTTAGTTTGGGGGGTTAGCTAGTTCTGTTAATGAGAACCAACAGGTAACTATCAATTTCAAGGGAATATCAGGTCTTTGACAGTTATTTCATTGTTTATAATCATGCAAAAGTAAGAAAATGAAGATAGTGATTAAAAAAAATTTTTTTTCCTGTTTGAATAAGAGTAAGCAGGAATATTATGGTTATTTGGGGATTTCATTTCCAAAAAAGAGTATTAATTTAAATACTTATACCAAATAGTTCATCAAATAATGTCTGTTCTCCAGAAATGTTTCCTTCAGTCTTCTCTCCCTGTACCTCCTTGAATTCTTTCTTCCATGTCCCTGCTTCACCAACCCATCTTGCATACTCCGGCCCAGTTATGTTCCTTTAAACAAGCTAAGGCATGTCAACACTAGTGGAATCTGAACAAGGTCTATAATCTAATTAATTGTGTTGTCAATTTCTGTGCTTTGCTATTTTCCTGTAGTTTTGTAAGATGTTAGTATTGGAAGGAGCTGGGGCTTGTGTTCATGGACCCTCTCTGCAACTTTCTGGGAGTGTATAATCATTTCAAAGTAAAAGTTAAACTATAGGGACAGAAATCAGGTTAACAGTTGCCTGCAGCCGAGGTAGCAGAGTTTGGGGATCGACGATAAAGAACTTTTTGAGGTGATGAGAATATATTATGTCTTGGTTGTGGCTGTGTTTACTGTATACCTTTGTCATGACACCCAAAAGGGTAAATTTTACTTCTACGTGAATTATATCTCAATGAACCTGACTTAAAAAGGAAAAACAAGTTCTTGTTACCCCAGCATCCTGTGGTCTAGAGGGTGAAATGTAACATATCATATAAGGCCCAATAATCTTTTCCAGCATAATGACTTTTCCTTCCTCTGCCAAAGTACCCTGTGCTTTCTTATTCTGTATTGATTCCTGCCTCTGGGCATTTGCATATGCTCTTCCCTCTGCTTAAACTCTAAGCAGCGGTTCTCAACCTGTGGGTCACGACCTCTTTGGGGGTCAAATGACCCTTTCACAAGGGTCACCTAAGACCGTCGGAAAACACATATTTCCAATGGTGATTCATAGCAGTAGCAAAATTACAGTTATGAAGTAGCAACGAAAATAATTTTATGGTTGGGAGTCACCACAACATGACAAACTGTATTAAAGGGTCGTGGCATTAGGAAGGTTGAGAACCACTGGCTTAGAGGGAGCACAGGAAATACAACCCAAATTCGTATTCCCTGTACTCTGTTAAACCTTCCTTGCCTCTCAGGCATACCAGTAACTTCCTCCTCTGTGTTCACTTGTGCTGTGCTGTAATTTTTAGTTTGCATCTCTTCTCGAAGCTAAACTCTTCCAGATCAGGCAACCCCATGATTCCTTTCTATCTCTGGGATCCAGTGGGTGAATGAATGAATTAATGATTTAAAGCTGGAAGAAAGCTTTCAAAACACATTCTCCACGTGTGGTCCAGGGTCCTCAAGACCCTTTTTAGAGGGTCAGTGAGGTGCTTGGGTTTTCTTGTGTACTTCAAACAGCACAATTCAATAGACTGAATGTCGAAGCAGATAAGAGAATCCAGCTGTCTTCAGTTAAACCAGACATTAAAGGTATTTGCACAAGCACTGTTTCTGCCTGGTTTTCTCTGACGCTGAGATGGCATCCCCGAGGCACAACCTCCTCTCTGAAGACTGTAGGGTTGCTATTAATCATGTGGCATCTTATGAGCTGCACATCAGTGATGCTTATTTATCTATGGCCTGTTATTACAACCAAGACACAGGAGCACCTCTTTTTGCCTCATTCTTTGAAGACCAAGCTGAGGTGAAGAGGGAACATGCAAAGCAATTCCTAAGATATCTAAGAAAACAGGAGAGTAAAATCTGCCTTCTGGTGATAAAGAGGCCTGACATAGATAACTGGGGAACTGGAATACAAGCTCTAGAGTCTGCTCTGGAGTTGGAGAACGAGATAACCAACCTCCTGGAAAACCTGAAGACCATGGCTTCTGCCAACGAGGAAACCAATCTCTTACATTTCATGGGAAAGTACCTGGATAAACAAAAGAGGAACACAAACTACCTGGAACAATAGCTTGCATATCGTAAGAGATTAGAAAAGCAGGCCCAGAAGGAAGACCCTTTTAAAAAGCCTGCTCAAGTGTCAGGTAAAGAGACAGACATCTGAAGGCAACAGAGCAAGTCTTCCCATTGTAGTAGGTCCCAAAATCAGCTACTTAAGAATCTTAATTGTCTCCATTTGACAGAAGATGTCTTTCCTTTATTAGTGTGTGTACAAATAAACCTGTTTTTGCATTATAAAAAAAAGATATTTGCACAGTGTGCCACACTTCCAAATTTTTCTTCTTTTGAAATAGTTACTTTTCTTAAAAATACTTATGTTACTAAGAAATTGTTTTATTTTTAAGAGATTAAAAACTCAATAGATATAATACACATTTTGAAAAGTTCTTTGGCGTCTTCAGTAATTGTTAAGGGTATGAAGGTGTTCTGAAACCAGAAAGTTAGAATCTGCCTTTAAGTAGCGCTGTGGCATAAATGGCCTCATTACAAGCACTTGACTTGCGGGTGCTGTTATATCTTCATTTTACGCGTAAGGTGAGTGAGTCACAGAGAAGTTAATTGACTTGGCCACAAACCTAGTCACTGGCAGAGCCAGGGTTTGAGCCCCTGTGTGTTCCAGAGGCCCTGCTCCTAACTAGTTTCCTGCTGCCTCCCTGGAGACCTAGAAAGGGTGAGAAAGACCCGTGATACCTGGTTACCTCTGCTCTCCATCACCCTCAGTCACATTCCCAGCTTGCCTTGAACTTGCTTTACAGTTTTCATCTCAAATTCTGCCACCCTGAGTATTGTCAAGCCTGGCCTTGCAGAGCCTTGGTTTCCAATCTAACCATGTGCACTGTACCTAAACCCCCCACTCCCCTGTCCTGACCGGATCCCGGCTCATGTATGACTTCCTGTCTTATTAACTATTTTTCCAGTTTTCTTACTTTGCCACTAAATCTACTGTTTTACTTCTTTAGGACCCCAAATCTCTTGATTTTTCTACTTGGCTGTTTTGTTGTTTTTGTTTTGTTTTAACCTCATTCTCTTCCTGACCCAGTGGGTACCCTATGGTCAACTCAAACTATTCTTTTTGGGGGAGTAATCCTCCCCCAAGGATATTTTTCCTTTGATTTTTAGATAGTGGAGTTGGGGGAGGGGGCATCAGGGCACAAGAGACACATCGATTGGTTGCCTCCCACATGACCCCAACCAGGGCCGGGAACCAAACCCAGACTTTCTGGTCCACGGGCTGACGCTCTACCCACGGAGAAAAACCATCAGGGCTCTTTTTTTTAAGTCAACAACTTTTATTATCCTGCACGTATTTCACAGGAAAGGGAACATGGCAAACGGTTCAGGGTGGAATGAAAAAAAAAAAAATGCAAGTTTGAACACGTTGCTCTATTTACATTTGGGAGCAGGCTCTCCCCTACAAGCTGCACCTGTTCACGCTCCTTCGCAGGCACAGCCCGTGGGGCAGCGGGAGCAGCAGCTCTTCTGGCAGGAGGTGCATTTGCAGTCTGCATGTACAGGAGCTGGCACGGGCGGGATCCAGCAGTGAGACAGGCGCAGTTGGAGTCCACTTCTAGCAGAGGTGAGCAGGAGACCCAAAGCAGAGGCAGAGTCATTTGGCTATTGAACACGTGATATCTCAGACTATTCTCATTCATAACTCTCCACTCCTTAGAGCCCTTATTCTCAAGGTTCACCAGCTCTGCAAACTTCCAATCCTGAATCAATTGCGTGGTTCAGTTTCTCCCCACCTATATCCGGGATTGCAGAACACAGTGTGTAAGGAGGTAGGGGGAGTGGAATGGCCCTGGCCAGTTTTGCTCAGCTGTTAGAGCATCAGCCAGTGGACCAAAGGGTCACATGTTCAATTCCTGGTCAGTGTTGTGTGGGAGGCAACCAATCAAGGTGTTTCTCTGTTCTTCCCGTCCACTCTATCTAAAAATCAATAGAAAAATATCCTCAGGTGAGGATTAACAACCAAAAAATGGAAAGTACAGATAATGGGGGGTGGTTAAACAATCTAGTAGGTTGCCCAGCTAGTGTGGCTCAGTAGATATAGCATTGTCCCATGGACTGAGAGTCCAGGTTCAATTCCCAATCAGGGCACATGCCCAGGTTGCAGGCTTGATCCCCAGTGGGAGGCATGCAGAAGGCAACCAGTTGGTGTAACTATCACATTAATGTTTCTCTCCCTCTCTCTCTCACCTGAGGATATTTTTCTATTTATCATCAGATAGAGAGGGAGAGAGAGAAACCATCCATGTGAGAGAGACACATTGACTGGTTGCTTCCCACATGACCTGACCAAGGCCGGGAACAAACCACAACTGAGGTACATACCCTTGACTGGAATTGAATCCTTGACTCATTGGTCTGTGAGCCAGTGCTCTAACCACTGAACCAAACCAGCCAGGGTAATAAAAATATATATATTTTTTAATCTAGTAGGTCAACTTCAGTCCTTATCTTTGATCAGCATGCTCTTTCATTCTCAGATTATTATAAACCTTTACTGCTTAGCTTCAACTGCTTACTCATCCATATGCCCAATAGCTAACCTTCTAATGCACAGAGGAAGTAAAATTCAGAAAACAAAAACTTCCCCTTCCCCCTATGAGCCTCCAGGGGAACATGTGCATCTTGCTGCCTCTGCCATCACTCCCAAAAGATCTGAGATGTCCTTTTTCTAGTTAAATCCCACGTCTGCTTATGATCCCACTTCATGACCATGTTCCTTAAGCCATACCCTTAACATCTGTACTTGCAGCCACTGAACCTCTGCTAGTTCATTTCCCTTGACTGAGAAAACACTCCTTCAACCCTGCACTCCGTCTGGTTACTGCCCTATTGTTTCTCTAGGGTCAAACTTCTTGAAAGCATTGTCACTCCTCTTCCTCAGTTTTTTTTTTTTTTTTAGTCACCCAAGGATATATATTAAAAAAAATTTTTTTTTATCCTCACCTGAAGATATTTTTTTCATTTTTTATTCAGATAGAGTGGGAGGGAGAGAGAGAGAGAAACATCGACATGAAAGGGACACATCGAGTGGCTGCCACCCGCACGACCCAACCAGGGTACATGCCCTTAGCGGGAACCGAACCCAGGTCTCTCCCGACCGCAGGCCGACACTCTAATTGCTGAGCCAAACCGGCCAGGGCTAAAATTTTTTTTCTTTATTGATTTTAGAGAAAGGGAGAAGGAGAGAGAGATAGAAACTTCGATGAGAGAGAACATCGATTGGCTGCCTCCTGCATGCACCTCAACTGGGGATCAGACCCACAACCTGGGCATGACCCCTGACCGGGAATCGAACCAGCAGCCTCTTGATGCACAGGTCAACGCTCGGCCACGGAGCCACACTGGCCGGGCTCCCGAGATAGATAGATAGATAGATAGATAGATAGATAGATAGATAGATATTTTTTTTTTAAGAGAGAGTGGGAGGAAGAGAGGGAGAGAGAGAAAATCGATATTAGAGAAACACATCGGTTGGTTGCCTCCCTCACATGCCCCAGCTGGGGCCAGGGATCAAACTGGCAACCCAGCTATGTGCCTTTGACTAAGAATCAAACCCATGACCATTTGGTGCTTGGACCGATGCTCTAACCACTGAACATCACTGACCAAGATCTCTTCATCAGCTTTATAACCTGTCCTGTGGTTGCTGGTTTTGATGCTGTGGGCCACTCATTTTCTGTGATCTCTCCCCTCCTGTGTTTGTGCTTTTTCTGTATCTCCCTAGGCATCACCGGCAACCTAGTCAGTCATCCAAGATGGAAGCCAGCTCTCATCCTAGACTCCCCTCCCACTTATTTCCCACGGCCAATCAGTCACCAGTGAGTTTTATGCGTTAAACATTGGTCAGGTTCACCCCTTTCCGTTACCGTGGCCACCAAACCATTCCAGTCTCCTTGAGACTCAGAGTGGTCTTGGTACCTCACTGACAATCATACTGCCTTCCACAGTCCTTCCTATGGCTTTCCAGTTAGCTCTTTTGACTAAAATTTTAAAACCATAAATGTAATACATGCTCATTAGAGAAAATTTGGAAAATACAGAAAAACATAGAGAAAAAATGAGAAATCATTTATAACCTTACCACCCAGAGATAAATACTGTTATGTTTGGAAGTGTTTCCTTGCTATTGTCTTTGTTCAGAATCATAAATTGGGTCATATTCTTCCACTGCTTAAAGCCCTTTAGTGGCTCACTTTCAATGCTCCCATCTCTTACAGACTAACTCAAATTCCTAGCAGAGTCTAAAGTCTTTGCAGGGTCAGTCTCTACTTCAGCTTGTCTTCTGCCCCCCGCCGTGTGGCCAGTCTCAGACGGGTTGCCCTGGCTGCAGGGTGGTCTCTCTTTTTAATTTTTTTGGTACCTGCCCCTAGTGGGAACCCAACCCGGGACTCTCTGGTCCACAGGCCGATGCTCCAACTGCTGAGCCAAACCAGCCAGGACCAGGGTGGTCTCTCTTTCCTGCCTCAGGGCCTCTGGAGTGTTTGTACCTGATTTGTCATATGGTAACTTAATCTAAAATCACCTCGGAGAAGCCTTTCCTGAACACTCTACCCAATATCACAGCCCTCTCCCCACTGTTTTTTTTTTTTTTAATCTTGTTTTTATTTTCTTAATATTTATTCACATGACTTATTATAACCATTCCAAAACAGATTGGAATGCCATAGACTTACCCATTCCTTGATACAGCAATCCAGCTTCAACTCATTTCATCTCTTTAAATCATGATTGATATATGCAAAGATTTTAGATCTGAGGATGTTTACCACAATGTCCTTTTTAGTATTTAAAATTGAGGATAACCTAAATAAATTGTGGTTTATTCAACCCCAAAGTAGCTAGAGATATATTTGTGGTATATTTTCGGTAAAAAAAAAAAAAGCAGATTTCAGCCCAGCTGTGTGGCTCAGTGGTTGAGATTCGACCCATGCACCAAGAAGTCGCCGGTTCAATTCCTGGTTGGGGCACATGCCCAAGTTGTGGGCCTGATCCCCAGTGGGGGACATGCAGGGGACAGCCAATCGATGTTCTCTCTCATCATTGTTTCTATCTCTCTCCCCCTCTCCCTTCCTCTCTCTCTAAAATCAATAAAGAAAAAATAAAAATAAAGAAAAGCATGTTTCAAACATATACCAATCTTTTTCTAAGTGAAGTATATATAGCATGATACCATATCTGTTGTTTTATTTTGGGGAAGTTTTT